CCCCAAAACCCCAAAACCCCAAAACCCCAAAACCCCAAAACCCCAAAACCCCAAAACCCCATTTCGAAGATTACCATTGAGTTCAATATTAAAATATATTTCATGATCAAGAGATAAAGGTTTTGCTTTTGTAGTAGGTCTTATAGCTTTCAACCTCTTTTATTATATCCACTTTTCCCTCCCCAATTTCGTCTCGGAATCAGATTCGATGTTCTTTAGACCCTGAGATTATTAAGGTACCAAATCGGTCTCATCTCCCTTCCGCTTGAGTTTCTTCTAGCTTACGATAATGAGGTTTGGCTGTGCCTCAGAATTCTGACGAGAGTTCTCTATTAGGACTACTCGATCTGCTGTTAGATTTTTTATAGCTGAGACCTTCTATCGCAGGAGCTACTTTTGTGTGCCTCCTACTCAAGAGAGATTTCATATTGTAATTAACTTCATGTGATTGCATTAAGTCATTTTCTAAACCAGGCTGCGATTAGTCGTTTTCTAAGTGATATTTTAAAATTCTTAATCCAAATGAACAAGATTGAGTAAGTCAATCTGGAAAATTCCCTTGACAAATTTTCTAAGCTATGAAAATATTAGACTTTTTCAAAATTCGAAGGAAATGGCAATTCCTCAACACACCTTCACTAAAAGTAAAAAGGGCATAACAAAAGAGGACATAAACAGGTGAAACAAGGACTTGGAATTACGTTTGCCAATGTTGTTCTTATAGTTTTTCTTCTTTCTTGCCTTACTCTTCCTATACACTATCAACCTAGCCATACCTGGGTTTTAATTTCGTACTCTCTGAAGGCTTAAGTGATTTTACGCTTTCAGTTTCACTATTAGGATTTCCTCGTTCGCTCTCAGCTTGCAGTCTAACAAGTGTGGAATATTGTTTCACCATGCTCGGGTTAATACTTAGACGCTTGTTCATTATATTATTTTAGGAGAGAGCCATTCTGGTCAGAGTTAACTCCATTACTATTGCATTCCTTGACCTCTTGGTTGTTAATGCTCCTTCTTTCCATAAACTCATTGATGCTCATATTTATTAGTTTTATTTATAATATTGTTAATTCTATTTTCTTATGGTCTTTGGGGTTTTGGGGTTTTGGGGTTTTGGGGTTTTGGGGTTTTGGGG